TACTTCAAGAGATTCTTCAGAGCATTTTTAACGAATAAGTTTCTCAAAGATTCTGATGGAAACTTTGTTGACTCAAAGCATCCAAAGAAGTACGCTGATCTGATTTCGGAAGAAGAATGGGAGACATTTGTTGCGAAGCGAAGAACCAAAGAATTGTTAGTAAGTACAACTTATCATGAATAATGTATAGTATATATACTTCTTCCACAAGAGTTCTGATATGACTTAAACTTGTTTTTTCAGATTGTGAGTGGCGTTAATCGACAACGGACATCAAAATCAGCGTATCCATACAAAAAAGGGCGTTTGGATATGCACGCTTAGAACAAAAAATAGTAAGTATATATAAATGCTTTAATATGATATAGTTACCAAAATTAGTAAGTATATATAATAGCATATAAATGGTTTATTATCCGTCTTAATGCGCAGATAGAAGAGGAGAAAAGTGACGCGACATCTCTTCCAGACCATGTTGTGTGGAAGGCTGCCCGTGTGGGAAGAGATGGAGTTGTTCAGGAAGAAGTTCAACAAGTGTTTGAGCGATGTGTAAGTACAACATTAGTTTTGTTAGTAACTGATCAAAAGTGTATAATATATTTATATATGCTTTTATCTATATTTTAGGAGACTCTATCCCAGAGTATAACTCTAGCTGAGGACGAGGACTGCAAGAGCATATTGAGTCGGGTGTTAAATATCCCTGAGTATTTTGGGCGTGTGAGGGGTAAGGGATTTGGCGTCACTCCATCACAGTTGTATAAGAAGCCAACAAAAAAAATCCTACCAATAGAGAAGTGATGGATACGTTGGAGGAATTGAAAGCCCAAATTTGGGAATTACAGAAGGACAAAGAAAGATACATGGCAGAAAGGCGCGATCCAGAGGGTAAAGATGCTAGTGAAAAAGATAGTATCGGTTGTCCGCAGAAGCTTCCAGAGGTAATTGTATATATTATATTGAAATTAATTAATTTAGCACAATTTTCTTAATTGACACATTAATCGGCATCATTATTTGTTTAGGGCATTTCACCTTGTCTGCTATATTTATCGTCACCGACTTGTCGCTTGGTTGGCAAGGGAAAGGTGCATAACAATGTGGGAGAATTACTTCACCATAAACCGCTCACTCCTGGATATTTAAAAGTATCGATTCATATTGCGTTAGAGGGGAGTGCGTTGTTGCCTATACCAGATGAAGTTTCAGACGCAACAGTGGTGGGAGACGCAATAGGAGTGTATGTTGCATGGCCGACAAATCTCATTTACATAGATGATGAGGTATGTTGAACACCATTATGAACCTAGCTAATCTCATATTCAAATGTTCCTCGATTTTCTTATTTTCTTATTTACATTTACATTTTCTTATTTTCTTATTTACATGATGATCTTAGACTCCTACAAAATCCAAATCAAAAGATGATAGAATTATTGTGCGGGATACCGATTCAGCTGCATCAAAGAAACAAGTACTAATACAGTTACATGGTTATCTTATTATACATTAATTACTGAACTTATATATAACTTTTAGGTTCATGATCAGCAGTTGCAACAAGTCAGCAAGGGTAAGATGCCTGAAACTTCCAAGGTGCCCAACAAAAAAAAGACCGAGTCAAGAAAAGCATTTATTCCTCGATTTAGGATGTGTCTTGAAACATATATAGGAACAACAGATGTGGTTGAGGGTGGCATCCGTCAAATACCTATGGAGGAAGGTATTTTCGATTTTGAATATCCCGAAACACTTGCTAAGGATGATTTTGACCAGGTTTTCCAACATTCTGAATTGGGCGTCGGTGTTATGCATTCCTACATCAGGTACTCCGATCCATTTTAATTAAATAATTGAACATTTTAAAATTTGCTCATTTAACTGAATATTCTAATGTTGATTATGTTTTTCTTTTAGGCTCCTGTATGACAAGTTGTTGGTCCCGCATGATTTAACTTCCATATTCACATTCTTATCTGCTAGCTGTATCAACGCACAGGCAATAGAGCACACACCAGATACTGTCAAAGATTACATGGTCCAAAGATTTATGGCCGCGACTACAGAGAAGTTGTTCTTGTTGCCATATAATACTGGCCATGGGTTAGATTTTATTCTAAATTCATTTATTATAATTATTCTATCTTTGCCATTAATCTATATAACATTTCCGTCTAAACTGTTGTCTTATTTTATAGTGGACAATGGTTGTTGCTCGCGATTAATCCGATGAAAGAAATAGTGTATTATATAGATTCATTGGATGGCGATATAACAAAATATCCTGATCTGAAGAACATGGTTGATACGTAAGTGATGAGATATACTGTTCTGAATAGTTATATATCTTTATTTATTATGTGACATTGTTCTAAATATGCGTTTATATTATGTTAGAGTTATACAAATATTCAGAGCATAAAGAGATGCAACAGTGCCAAAAAGGAAGGCTAACAACATCAACTGGATCAGAGTGGAGGTATATTTTCCCATGTTTGACTGTTATAGTGGTTCTACTTGATAAAACTATTTAAACTATATATACTGATAAATGTTTGTTTGTTTTTTCCATTTACAGTGTTCTCGTCAGCGCAATGGGATTGACTGCGGATATTTTGTATTGCGCTTTATGAAGAAAATTATTCTTTCAGGTCAAATAGAGATTCCAATCCTGGTATGGATCAATTTATAAGTTATATGATTCATTTTGATAATTAACCGATATTTCATCTGAGTAATTAGTTTTAAAATTAAATCGTGCATGTTCTGTTATATTACGTAGTACTTTGATGAATACAAGTACGGTACTTACTCGAAAGGAAGATTGGAAGAATTGTATAACGTATCTATTTGTAAAGTTATCGGATTTGTAATTATATGTAAATTGAATGTATTTGTGATAATTGGAGGATTGAATGTATTTTGTGATGTTGTATTATATTTAAACAGGTTTATGTGTATTAAAATGGTTATGGGCAAAGTGATGAATACACATAAATAAGGCCAAAGTAATTGTTATATATAAGGCCAAACTGTTGAATTAAAGGCTTGAATTATAAGCAGGGAATGTAATTGTTATAAGCAGGTTTATCAAAAAATATATATAAAATGTGATTATTTAAAAAAAAAAAATTTAAAAATCGTGAAGAATAGACAGCGCTTTTAAAAAAAGCGCTGCTAAAGGGTGCAAAGAGAGGCCAAAAAACTGCTGCTATAGGTTGGAAAAGGGGGGGTTTATGAAAGCGCTTTAAAAAGCGCTGCTAAAGGGGGTCTAAGACAGCGCTTTTAAAAGCGCTGCTAAAGGGAGGGAGGGAAAAGCGCTGCTATAGGGTTGAAAAAACGCTGCTAAAAGCGTTGCTGAAGGGAGGGGAAGGGGGAATAGGCAGCGCTTTTAAAGCGCTGCTAAAGGGGGGAGGGAAAAACGCTGCTATAGGGTTGAAAAAGCGCTGCTAAAAGCGTTACTGAAGGGAGGGGAAAGGGGAATAGGCAGCGCTTTTAAAGCGCTGCTATAGGGTGAAAAAAACGCTGCTAAAAGCGTTGCTGAAGGGATCCTTTAGCAGCGCTTTTTCTTTAAAAAAAATGTTGTTTTTACCTTTAGCAGCGCCACTTTTGACAGCGCTTTTAGGCGCTGCTAAAGGTCTTTTTTGGCATAGTGACAAAATATCCTAATTATGGTTGGTTGCCTTAATGGTTTTATCGTTAAAATGATCCAGGTACTATCGCAATAAATCACTCTGCCCTTGGCAAATATTGAAAAGGCATGTCGTCTACACCTTTCTGTGTTTGATGGCAAAGAACTTGTGTATCATTTTCCAGCACATATGTTACGGAGAACCTGAGAAGGCTCATGTACCAGCGTAAGGAAGAAACTTTCAACACGTCGACCATCAACATGCACTTATGCGAGTCGCTAGCTTTGATAATGGTCATCTGAGTCTTGTCGTGTTTGATATGCTCATGAGGGTCACTCTTTCTGTAAAAAAAAAGTGGTCAATTTGAAATTATCATTGACTTGATCGTCAGAGATTTCAACTATCACTGATTATGGGTCAATCATATCTTCCATGTCCCCGTCTTCCCGTGGATGTTAATGTTGATTTTTCTACAAGGTATGCATGCTACCCTGCAATAGGTCTTTCTGGTGGCGTAGGTCTTCCATGGCGGATAGTAATACCTCCATAAAAGCATGTGATTCTTAATTGTTGCCGTTTGCTCTCATCATATGGGAAGGTTGAGACTGATAGTTTTAAAATGTTATTGTGTGGCCCATGAAAATTTTTATGAGAAAATGTAGTTTTTTGAGGTAAATTAAAATTACTTAACTCAAATCTCTTGTTTAGATAAAATTAATTAGTTTTATAATTATTTTTTCATAAATGAATATAATTTATCACTTTATCCAAACAATACATTTTTAAATGAAGCAATTCAAATACTTCATCTAATTAATAAATTTTAAAAATGAAGGGAAGTTAAACGAGACATTGGAATGCCATAAAACTTCAATCTTTTTTTTAATTTTAAATTGACTCATCCAAAACACAGTCTAATAGTTTCGTGTCAAACTCCTACAACACCACTACTATCCAATATGACATAGTTATAGCCGAACATTAATTTGTGTAATAATTGTTTTTTTACTTGTCTAACATTTATGGAACAGAACCTGATTTCTACATGCATGCACCAAATAAGTTCTGAAAAGGACAAACGAAACAACATAGTAGTTTCTAATACATAATTAACACTTGTCCAAAGCACTCACAAAATATACATGAAAGACTTTTCAAAGATCTATGTGGTCCAATTCACGTTCTCCTTAGTCGCCAAGTAATTGGACTTTTCTAATATTATATCCTATCATATGCTGACACAATTATAAATATACCTTAATTCAATCCACAACTCAAATACTTGCTTAAACAGAAAGCTCCCCATTCAATTTCAAGTCACACCTCAAAATCTTACACACTCACAATTAAATCACTTTAACTGAATTGATGACTTTGATTTCATCCTTCTTCAGCTGTTTTGGCATCTCTTCAAACTCATTATCTCAAGTTTTTGATTATGATAAAAAATTATCTCAATCAAAATCTTCATCATCGGAGAAATCAAAGAGCAAGGAAATAATAAAAGGAGCTCCTTTGGTGGTTTATCATTTTCCTGTTAACTCTAATCTCTCGCTTTTGTAGTCATGTCTTATTGAGAAATTTATTTATCTATTTTGGTACTTGATTTTCTTTTGTTTCTTTATTCTTATTTTTACTAGAAATTTTAATAGGATTTGTATCAATAATTAATATTACTTTCATGATTTAATTTAATTTCATTAATAATATACTATTACTAGATTCTTTTAAAAAAATTGTGTTAATTTGAAAATTCTGTATGCAAATTAATGGGAGCTTTTGAAAACCACATCTGATTTTGGATGATTTAGGTAGTCAATAAGATATTAACACTCTTAAGAGCCTGGCCACAAAGCACAACAAAAAGTAAGCATCCAACAATTTATAATTTATAGTCATATGAATGTTCCACAGCCAAAATAGTCTTTAATTATTTTGACAAGAAAGGAATAGGTTTATCAACCCACACAAAGGAAGAACAAGGAGACTCAAGGAACTTTAGCTATAACTAATTATTAGAGAAGACTTTAATAAAATTCACAAGATATATTCTCACATTTTTTCGATTCAACCGACAAAAAATGTTGTTCATGGTTCGAGATGCGATTTTCATCTTTTGTAATTTTGTATTTTATTTAGAATCAAAATGACATCATAATTTAATTTAATCATTTAATAACAATATAAATAAATTATTTCCTCGATTTTCTTGCCAACCAAGAGCTATTGTTACTCAGAGTCTGTGTTTCGATTATCAGCATATGCAATTTTGAATTTATTTATAACCAAAATGGAATAATTAATTTTTTATTACAATAAAACTTGTATTTTATTCTCGATTTTTAATGTCAACCGAGATATATACTCCAAACAATATTGTATTTCAACATCAGAATGATAATTCTCGTTGCTTTTGTATTTCTCATAAATTTTTTGTACTTTAGCAAACAAAGAACCTTCTTCATATTTTTCAACCAACAAATGAAACACCATTCTTCATATTCTCCACTTAACCATAAATCAAAATCCATCTTTCAAGTCGAACAAAGTTAACAAAGAAGGAAGAAAACTCAAAATAGGAAATTTAAAACTCAAACCAACACATTTCTTTGACTCTGTCATCACGTTTTCGGTACATTAATATTTCACCAGGATTGTACTAGTAATATTTTGTTGTTGTTGTTGTTGTTATTTTTTAGACTTACAGTATAATGTTGTTGTTAGTGTAGTATTTGTAGTTCTTGTATTGAGATTGAAAGTTCAGTGTTATTGTTCTTTTGTTGAGAAGGAATGTTCATTGTTATTTTTGTGTACGATTTTATTTTATTTTTAGAAGGTACGTGATTATCGATCATAGTTGGATGAAAGCCAATAAATTTTAAGAGTATGAGAATTGAGTGATTCAATTTCTTGAGTTTGCATTGTCCTTGTAAAATATGTTGAACAACACAAAATAATTCAAAGGAATAAATGTTCAATATTCAGGTTGTGGAACTACTCAAAATTATACGAAATGGGTATGACATGGACAAGTGACAAAAAAAACTTGTGTCACATAGAGGTAAAGTTGATGAAGATATGAATGATAAAATTGAAGATATGCTATTTGATATTTGAGTTTTTATATTTATTTAAGAAATTCCACGTGTATGATACTTTACATAGTGATAAGGAAGAGCCTTTATTTTCGGGGTGTAAAATTTTTACAAGATTGTCAGTTGTGTTAGAACTATTTAATCTCCAGGAAAAAAGTTGGTGTATAGATAGAAGTTTTGTTGCAGATGGATTTTAATGGAGAGCTGGAGTATGATGCCACTCCAAAGCCCTTGGAATGGAAGTTTATAAAAGACAACAACACATCAATGTTGTCTTTGGAAAGAAACAAAAAGGCTTTGTGTAAAAAAATATTTATAAAAAAAAAGAGGTTGGTATTACTTGATCTTCCATATGGGTCTAACCTTGATGTAAGACATTCCCTTAATGTGACGCATGTGTTGACAAAAAAAATTATGATAGTTTAATTGGGACACTTTTCAACATTAATGGCAAGAAAAAAGTTAGTAAGAAATCCCTTTTAAATATAGTGGTGATGGATATAGGATAAAGTTAGCCCCAAAACAAATAGAAAATAAAGCATATTCCCCCTAGCATGTCACACTCAATCTAAAAAGAAAAAAAAAATGCAATTGTTTGTTGGGTTTTCCAATGGTACTCATCAAATGTGAAGAAACATGTATCAATGAAAAGTCTCAAGTTAGTTGGCTTAAAATTTCATGGTTTTCATTTCTTGATCAACAATTTCTAATAGTGGCTATCCATGGTATTTTACTAAAAAGTGTAAGGGTAACTATAACCAGATTATTGTTATTGTTCAATGTTATATGTAGTAAAATCTTTGATCTTGTAAATTTATATATGTTGCAACATGAGGCTGCAATTATCTTGTGTTAATAAGAGATGTGAAGGAAAAAACCATGGTGGGCTCAACATTGTGAATTGTGATGACTGGAAAGTTGCTAGTATGCTCAAGCTGTTATGGAACATAAGGGGTAAAAGGGATAGTTTATGGATTAAGTGCATACTCACTTATTATATGAAAGGAGTAGACATTATGGAAGAGGTGGTTAAGAGCAGCTGGTCTTGGATAAGCAGGGTCATCTTCAAACAAATAAAAAGAATTGTTGGTAATCAAGATTGGACAAGTATTATGGAGAAACAAAAAGCTAAAACTAGGGACTTTTACAAAATCATTAAATCTAATGTGACAATGTTGGATGGCACAAAATTTGGTTTGATAATCTTGTTATACTGAAGGTTGTTTTTGCTTTATGGATAGCTTGCAATGGTAGGTTGCCAACCAAGGATCGACTTCACAAATTTGGGATGCTGGAGAATACAACATGTTGTTTCTGCAATGAAGTAGAGTCTTTAACTCACTTGTTATTTTCCTGCGCAACAATTCAAAGTATATGGAAATATGTGTTACAATGGCTGCAAATTACTCATACCCCCCTTGGCTGGGACTAAGAGATTTTATGGGTCCTTAACAACAGTAAAGGAAAGAATTGGAGAAGTAGAATCCTCAAGTGTGCCTTTGCAGAAACAGTTTATGAGTCATGGCAGTATCATAATCAAATTTGCTTTGGAGGGAGAATTTGAACTTAGAAAGCATAGGTCCTAAAATTGTTGATATTATTGTTTATAGATGTTGGGATAGACCCAACCTTAGAAAGCACATTAATGTTTTAATGTTGCCTTAGCTTGATTTTGTTGTTGGTTGGTGTCTTAGTGCCTTGGTCGGGTCTTCGGATCGTCGTGTTTTGTATCGTCTCTTTTGGAATTTAATATAAATTCTTTTTATTCCAAAAAAACATAAGAGATGCATTTTCCTCCAAACTTTTTTACATTATGGTTTGTTTAATTTTTCATCTAGTAAGGGAAATTAGATTTTATGGTCAAGTTTTTTAAGGTGGATGTATATGGTAGAGCGATGCATGGAGATATTTAAAGTTTATATGATGAATCATCACTATTTGGAAGCTTTGATCTTTGAACGGTAATTCATAGAAAAAACTATTGAATTTTGTACAAACTATTTTTCGAAAGAAAACTTTATAGGAATTTATGTATCTCATCATTATGGAAGATATGGAGGCAGAGGTACTCAAGGTTTAAATTTTAAGACAATAGACCGAGAAGTAGTTCTTTAAGTGTGTGTGTGTATATTCAATAATGTCGATAAATTTCAAATTTACTTATCTACTCACAAAAGTCTTGTTAAGGAAAAATTCACCCAAATAAATAAAAATTGATGTTGACAATGCATAACAAAACTTTCATAAAATAGTTTAATGAAAAAATTTATAAAGAAAGTAATGCATATGAGATATTTAGTATATACAATACTAGTGGGTCCTAAACACAATTGAGACCAAAGAATTGAAATTGAAAGACACATAAATATGCAATAAAACATGAGATTTGTGCTTTAACTACTAAAAATATCTTTAAATGCGTTAAAGTCATCAAAAAACTTAGTAATTCAAGAACAAAACTTAAATTTCAGTCCAAACAAAAACTATAGTCAATGTAGAAGATAACAAATTAAACAAGAGTTATAATGTGAAATGGTAAAATCTTTACAATTATAAAAAGAATATAAGAAACTAATTAACTAAAGAAAATTATAAACTTTACTATTTTTTTATAGGCAAAGAGATTCACTAAAAAGCACAAGGGGTGCAAAATCCCTTACAAACAAGAGCTAAAACTAACGTCTCATACAGAAAATCAGGTAGTTGAACCAATCGTAAAAAGAGCAAGAAGAAGCAAACCTAAAACATATACAAAACCAGGTCCACGCGAGGTACTTAATCAAATACACTATGCCACCCACTACAAGCTCTGAGCTATTAATAAGACAATTATTTCTTCCCTTCCAAAGCACCCACACCACGTACGACCAAATAAAAGACCCCTTTGCATTTCGAACCTCCTTAGCTAACAAACAAACGAATAAGTTGAAAGATGAAACGCAGTTAAAAGAACTGCTCAAACCCACGCCAAGCCAATTCTCCACTCCTTTCTAGACAAGTATCGATATTCTGCAGTCTAAGAAAAGGTGTGAAATATTCTCCTCAAAGTCCCTACACAACACGCAAAGGGAGTCAGAATCTGAGAAGTCAAAACCATGCTTCGCCAACTGATCCTTCATCGCAATTCTTCCTAAAATAATTCTCCAAGAAAACATTTGAATTTTGGATTTCATTTTAGAATTCCACAAAGAATTCAAAGCAGCAGCCGCATCCATATCAACGTCTCCCACACTGTTAGCATTCTGTAATAAGTATGCATAACAAGAACACACTGAGAAAATTGCATTATCTTTCAGCAGCCAATCGAAATTGCCAACAACACCAGTAGACAGAGCACTCTGATAGGTGTCAAGTATATAATACTTTTCGTATCCATTTGCGGAATTTTTAAGCTCTTTTCCGTGATTCTGTTGCGAAACAACTTATTTATTAAGTGATTCTTGTATCAATGAAGATATTTTCTTCAGC